CCATCCCATCTCCATTACGTCCTCATGCCATCCCATCCCCATCCCTGTCCCCATTATGTCCCCATCCCCATCCCATCCCCATTACAACCTCATCCCATCCCCATCCCTGTCACCATTATGTCCCCACCCCCATCCCATCCCCATCATGTCCCCATCCCCATTATGTTCCCATCCCCATTATGTTCCCATCCTCATCTTCATCCCCATCCTCATCCCTGTCCCCATTATGTCCCCGTCCCCATCCTCATTCTCGTCTCCATCCTTGTTCCCATTATGTTCCCACCCCTATCCCTACTATGTCCCCATTATGTTTCCCTCTCCATCCCCATGATGTTCCCATCCCCACCTTCATTCTCATCCTCATCCCCATCCCCATTGTCTCCATCCCCATCCCTGTCCCCATTACGTCCCCCTCTCCATCCCCATTACGTCCCCATCCCCATCTTCATTCTCATCCCCACCCCCGTCCCCATTATGTTCCCATCATGTTCCCATCCCCATCCTCATCCCATCCCTGTCCTCACCCCCCTTCCCGTCCCTATCCCCATACCTGTCCCCACTATGTCCCCATCCCCATCCCTGCTCCCATCCCCATTATGTCCTCAGCCCCAACCCATCCCCATCCCCACATCTCCATCCCATTCTCATCCTGTCCCCATTATGTCTCCCTCCCCATCCCCATTATGCTCCCATCCCCATCTTCATCCCCATCTTCCTCCCCATCCCCATCCCGTCCCCATTACGTTCCCATCCCTGTCCCTAATCTACCCCGTCCCCATTATGTCCCCCTCCCCATCCCCATTATGTTCCCATCCCCATCCCCATCCCTGTCCTTATCCCTGTTCCCATCCCCATTATGTTCCCATCTTCATTCTCATCCCCATCCCTGTCCCCATCTCATCCCATTCCCAACCCAACCCTCATCCCCACCCCCACCGTATTTCCACCCCATCCCCATCCCTGTCCCCATTCCTGTCCCCACTGCGTCTCCATCCCTGTTCCCATTCCCATCAT